GTGAGAACACACAAGCGTGAACATCCCCGCCTGAAGCCCGAGGGCCCCGTTTGAATCCTCCTCCTCTCCCCTGCAGACCTCCATCCTGAACAAGCACCTTCAGGAGCTGATGGACGGGCTGACGGCCAAAGTCTTCCGCACCTACAACGCCTCCATCACGCTGCAGCAGCAGCTCAAGGAACTCGCCTGCCGTGAGTAGCAGCAGCTCAACGTTTACCGCCAAGGGAGACGGATGCCGGTGCATGGAGTAGGGAGGGTGCACTGGGAACTGCAAGGTTGGGGGTTTGAATCCTGGCTGCTCCATGTCCCATGTCAAAGTGTCCCTAAGCAACACAGCTGACCCCTAATTGCTCCCCGGGCAAAAGTGTAAAAAAAAAGCCATGGGTTAAAAAAGCAATGCAAGTCGCTTTGGATAAAAGCGTCAGCTAGATGACCTGTAACGTGATGTAATTATACATAGAAAAAGGCTCTCAAAACGTCTTTATTGACAGAAAAGATTCCATTTTTTTGAAATATAAAAAAGTATAACAACAAAAAGATTTTCATACTTTAAATATGCTGTGTTTTCAGTATCATATAAGAGACATAATGCATAAAAGTCTCAACCAAAGGCTGTGAAATCTATTGGAAAAAAAAAAGTTTTGCGAAGATCCAATAATTCATTTCAAATGAGAAGGATCTTTAGTAGCTGATATCTGACAAGATAATTATGCAAAAGCTCTCTGCGGCTTCTACGGGGGAAAGTACAAGCAGCTTTGTTTATCATTATGGTATTGTTGTTGTTATAAAATGTACCTGACAAATATCAAATCAGGATAAATGTGAATCCGCTTCGTCACAATGAAATAAAAAACTGCAAATATGACATTTTGGGTTTTGGTGCAGGAAGAATGAATGAATCAACGTGTTAGTGTTCTTTTAGATGTGCTCTTTAAGATGTTAATCACTTTGACCTCCTCCTCCTCCTCGCTGGGGGCGCTGGGTCTCCAGCCGACGACAGCCTCCCCGCTAAAGTCCTCTCCTACAACCGGGCCAACCGGGCGGTGGCCATCCTCTGCAACCACCAGAGAGCTCCACCCAAAACATTTGAGAAGTCCATGCAGAACCTTCAGACCAAGGTACCCCCCCCCCCCCTCCCTCCTCCTCCTCCTCCAGTCAGTGGATGTTCTCTCGCTGAGCGATGCTCCTCTCCTCCGCCCAGCTGACGTTTGCATTTTGCCATCGCAGATTGACGAGAAGCAGAATCAACTGTCGGCCGCCAGGAAGCAGCTGAAGTCGGCCAAGGCGGCGCACAAGACCTCCCACGACGACAAGAGCCGGAAGTAAGAGAGGGCTGGTTAATCCACCAATCAAAGCCTCGAGTTTACGTTGTTTTTTCTCCCCCCAACCGGAGGCGTCGCCCTCTGCTGGTCACTAGAGAGAATGCAGCTTTAACTTACTTCCCATCCCGTTCACAATGTCACCGACGTGGACTCTTTACTGCGTCTCCATTGTTATGTTTTCATTCCTCTTTCTCCCCTCCCTCCCTCCGCCCGTCGTCCCGTGTCCCAGGGCGTGGAAGGTGAAGCGTAAAGCCGTGCAGAGGATCGAGGAGCAGCTGATGAAGCTGCAGGTCCAGGCCACGGACCGAGAGGAGAACAAGCAGATCGCTCTGGGCACCTCGAAGCTCAACTACCTGGACCCCCGGATCTCCGTGGCGTGGTACGAACCAGCGGCGCACCTCCACCTGTTATTTGATCACAGGTGTTACGGCTACTGTTCAATAGGCCGGCCTTCTCTGGGTGGGACGGGGGCTGCACCTCTACCTTGATGACAGAAAGGCAGGAAATGCTCCTGCACTGTAGGAAAAGGAGCAGCACAAGCAAAAAAAAAGAAAGGAAAAGAGAGCCAGCGGCTGCAGGAGGAGAATGAGGAACAATGGGGCTTGTTTCTGGAGCGTCCCAAACAGCACCCCTCCCTCCATGTGGGAAGTCAATGAGGACCAGTCTGTGGGGCTGAGGGGGTCGGCCCCCCCCATTGGCTATTTACGGAGAGCCTTCCCTTCAGGCACAATGGCTTCAGGAATGCTCTGAGCCTTTACTCTGCCCGTAAGGCGTGAGGGACGGGAGTGCCCCCCCCCCCCCCAGGGTGGTGCATGGGAACCTACATGTACACTGCAGTGAGTGTGTGTGTGTGTGTGTGACAGGGGTGAAAACACGCAGGCCAATCGGGCAGCGCTAATAGTAATAGCTAAGAATAATTAGGGCTGTCAATACATTAAAGAAAATTAACTAATTAATCGCACATTTTGAAATCCATTAATCTCGATTAATGGCGATTAATGAATGTTGTTGTTGTTAAAATGTTTGTTTCTTCTTCGCTCTGACTGTTGACACACCGAGCGCAGAAATGTTGCTTAAACAACTAACTTCATCGTCTGAAAACGTCCTAAAATGACATTGCGTGACTTAAATATACAGGTCCGGTCTTAAAAGCTTATTATGGAAGATTGACGCTTTTCGCTGCTCAAAACCTGCCCTCTTTGCTTCCGCCTTCCGGTGTGACTGAGATGCTTCCGTATGTTAGTGAGATTTCCTTCATCCACACTAGTGAGATTACGCGCATGAATGCAAGTGAAACACTTACACATCCTCATGTAAGAGCACGTGCATATAACTGGATGCATACACATTAGAAACATCTATACAATTATATGTGAAACACTCACATATGTATCTAAACTTTTTATATCGTTGTAATCATATGCAAGAGTTATGAAAGTGTTCAACAACATATATGCAACCTTTTCATATGTGCATGCATGAGTGTTTCAGATAGATACGTACACATGTTTCACTTAAATGCATCTCATATGTGTGTGAATATGACACAGAAGTATATATGCATGCGCGCGTGTGTCTCATATGTACGTGTGTTTCAGACGAGTATGTATAATGTTTTATATATGTGCGTGCACAGGTTTACAGAGTGTGTGTGTGTGCGTCTCAGTAGTGAGTGCGAGAGTTGAGTTGAGTCCTAAACGGCCCCTCATAACCGTAGCTGGTCTTTCACCCGTCCTCCCCAGGTGCAAGAAATGGGCCGTGCCCATCGAGAAGATCTACAACAAGACGCAGAGGGAGAAGTTCGCCTGGGCCATCGACATGGCGGAGAAGGACTTTGAGTTTTAAACACACAGGAGCATTTTTCCCTTTTCAAAGCGCGCCTTCCATCGTAGAGGTTGGTAGTTGATGTCCAATGGTCCCACGGCTGCGACCACGGGTAAATAACTGTGCTTGTGCTCTTTCTATGTATATCTATTTAGAGGTACATATACACACACACACACACGTATGGACGATGAATGACAGAAGTGTGTATGTAGCTGCAGCTTAAAGCTCTTGTGAACACATTACTTTTATCTTTTGTGAGACACGATTGCACTGAAACGTGTGAGCCATCGGCCTTTTCTCAGACATTCTATATTCTCGTAGAACAGGGAAGAAGTAAATGTTTGCACGAGAGCCCGCGAGGATCAACGGGGGAGAATCTGGAGCGAACTGTGAAGTCCAGAGACCCGAGCGCTGCGCTCGCTCAATTATTAGCACACGGAATGTTGTCTCTCTTTTACATTTTAGTTTCGGTTCGCTGTTTATTTCAGGGATGTACATATTTTTCCGTCATTTTGAATTAGTCAGGATTCAGCGTTTTATATGAAAATAAATGTGTGCTGTTTGTGTGGTCGACAGGACGCTCTTCATTGCTTATATGCAACCTGTGTGTGTGTCCACAGTTCTAAAAACAATCCTCTCGGTTACTTGAAAGCGGCTCCAGTGAGACACCGTGTTTTTTGTGTGCACCAGAGCTCAGAGACTGTTCCCGCAGACGGAGATGAGGATTTTTTTGCCAAAAAAGAAGAAGAAACAAGACCACGGGGGGGGGGGGGGGTGTCGGGTAGTGTGCCGTTTGTATCGCTGTGACAACGAGGAAAGCGCGCGCAGTCATTTTTCCAAATGTGAATGAATATTATGTCTTTTGTCATCAATCTTTTGTGCTATTTGATTAATTGTCACACAACCGTGGATTGGTTGAATGCTTGTTGTTTGGAGCTTTGTAGTTTTCAGAATAAAACATATAAAACTTGTTTCCTTCTTACACGTGTGTAAAAAGGGATCAAAACAAGGCGGCCCCCCGAGTATACAGAGAAACATAACCCTGTCAGAGATGTAATCAACTGATCGCTCAGGTCAGAGGTCACACTACAATTACCAAAAAACATTCTCAAGATATATTTTATTCACACACGTGGTCATTTTGAACCATGATCATTTCACTGTATTTGTCGACAGAAGAGTCAATAATGAAAAGCAAAACTTTGTGGTTCCCTGTTGTGATGCTTGCTGTGCCCGGCAGGCCGCTAACAGGCGCTCCAGCTGCGTCAAGCTAACGGGAAAACCGCAAGACCACCGGAAGTGAGGTAATCGTGTACAAAACAAAAGACAAGACGAGTGCACATAGGTATGGGAAATACGTAGATGTATATATATATATACACACACACACACACACACACACACACACATATATATATATATATATATATATTTTTTTTTTTTAATATATTATATCCATAATGCTGCAGAAGTGACCAACCCACGTTCTGCCGTGAAGACTCGTCGACAAGATGACGTTTTCTGGTCTAATTTTTTTGGCCTCTGTTTTTGAGACACCTAAAATCGTATAATTTTACGATAGCGGTTTTTACAAAGTAAAAATAAAGGTTAAGCTTAAGGTCCATTCAAAAAATACTGTGATTTGTATACTGGCGAACCGGAAGTACAGAAACGTGATTTCTTTAGGACTCATTCAGGTAAACGGATCATTGCACGGGGACTCAAAGGCAACGATACTTAATTAATAATTAATAACTAGCGTGATTTACAGTCGCCGCGTCTCCAAAAACAGCAGCGCGAACTCTTTGACTCCGACCTCTATTGTGAAAACCCGCGGCGGAAGCCACGGTTTGTGGTCGTTACTGTGGGGGAGGCAGGAGGAGCGGCAGGAGGAGCAGGAGGAGGAGGAGGAGGAGGAGGAGGGGGAAGGGCCTCCGCTGGATCCGAGGCACTAACAGCGTCGTCTCGCCGCGGAACCTCGCGGGCTGCTCTCTCTCTGCGGACGGCGGAGGAAACGGCGCCTTTTGTTCCACAACCGAGCGCGGATTTAATCCCGACAGACACAGCGGGACGAAGAAGAAGACGAAGAAGAAGAAGAAGAAACGCTGCGTTGTTTGCGCTGGGGGGCCGCGGGGGGGGCCACGTTGAACACACTTCACCGAGAGGAGCCGCGGCCGCTGGAGATGTGCGGTCGGGCCGAGATTGCGTTGGTACGTAACTACGGTTCCCCCCCCCGTCCCGTCCCGTCCCGTCCCGTCCCCCCCGTCCCGCGACGGGCCGGCTGGTTCCCTCCGGGGGGGCAACTCCGCCGTGTCGCCCCCCCCCCGGGAGGTAAACC